TTTAAGATTTTTCTTGTACTCAAATATTTTTTTAAACAATAATTGATTAAACAATTCGTATTTTTTAATGAATATTTTTTTATTTTTGTGTGGATAATCACTTTATTATCAAACATTTTCATCTCGGGGTTTTCATTTCATGACGCCGCAGACAGTTTTCGTACTGTCGAAGCAAAGTTCATTTTAGTTATAAAATTGTTGATTTTTTTTTATGTAAATTAAAATAACAAAAAATTTTGCAAGACACAGTTTCGTTGTATTTTTTTCCATAGAATCGAATAGTGTTATTAGATTTTAAGATTTTTGTTGTACTTAAGTATTTGTTTAAACAATTGAATTTTTTAAATATTTTTCTTTGGAAAATTATATTTATTTCTAATGTTTTCATTGCGGTATTCACTGTTTAGCTATTTGTAATAGTTTGACCACAGCCTCTAATTATGACATTACACCCATATAACTTCAAGGAGTGATTTCTACCCTTTAAAGTGGATCATGGCAGATATAAAAATATACGGGTCTCCTATTTTTCTGAGTACTACATTCATACCAAGTTTAATTAAAATCGGAGATTATCACTTTCATAGGTTTACTTGTGAGTACAGGCTGTCAACACGCCAAGTTTATTTGGATTAGATTTGGTCAGCGTCGAGCAAATTGAACAAATTTCAAACGATTCGTTAGGAAAGTTTTCGCATTGAACAGGTAACCAACTCTCGGAAAACTGCAACCAAGATTAAGAAAAGACATTTTTGAGTTGAAATTTGGAACTATGTCGACGAAGATTAGGCAGAATAAACTCATGACAAACGTTCATTCACCGAAATTTGCTTTCATTAAAAGTGGTGGTATATTCATTTGGGAGGTTAAGTATATCGAATGAGAGTAATAAAATGTGTTTTTCAAATAACTGTCGATTCAATCTCTTGTCGCCAGAGGGCGCATTGTATTTTCAATACACTTTCTGAGTCAATTATTTATTTTTCTGACTTGTCAGTGCAACTGAATACCCACATAGAACGACTTCTTGCTGTGAGGTTACTTTAAGGATATCTGTAGGGTTTGTAAGGTTACCGTGTAAGCCGTGTAAACTTGAAGTCATCTTAAAACTTCCGCCATTACAGTAAGCTTAGACAGTATGGTCGTGGTAAGTTTACATGGTAAGGTTGTGGTAAGCTTACACGGTAAGGTTGTTGTTAGCTTCCCGTAAGGTGACTGTAAGGTTGCAGTAAGGTTACTGTAAACATAGAATGTTATTAATAAATAAATTTTATTAATATTTAGGCGCAGTAGTTTTCTATGGCACATACGGCTGCGCAGTAAATTTTATTTAACAAACCCTATTGGGGTTCATAAAGTACTTCACCAAATGTATAATGTTTTATAAAAAAAATTTATAATATAGTATATATTATAATATAATTATATTTTTAATATATTATCTTATTATTCTATGTTTACAGTAATCTTACAGAAACCTTACAGTAACCTTACGGAAAACTTACAACAATATTACCGTGTAAACTTACACAACTTACCACGACCTTACTGTGTAAGCTTACTGTAATGGCGGAAGTTTTAGGATGACCTCAAATTTTTTGTAGGCATACACGGTAACCTTACAAATCCTACAGATATTCTTACAGTATTAGGCTGAAGAACGTAACGTTAAAAGTTTAACGAAAACAAATTTCATAATTATACATTCTATTCAGTAAAAATAACAAAAATTATACATCAAACACATAAATAGTAAATATTAAAAGCAAATCTAAGTGATTTTTCTAATTATAGGGAAAATAATTCAATTTAATACAAACAAGAAAATATTTTTCGTTTTCAACATTAACGATTGCAATTACTCAAAAAATAAAAATTTGTCGCACTTTTAAATCATGCTATTCAAAAGGGTACTAAAATATGTGTCGAAAACATCTATATTTTTTTAATTTTTATGAGCAGTAAGGGTTGAAACTGAACGAAGAAAGAAGATATTTTTCGTTTTCAACATTAACAATTGCAATTACTCAAAAAATTAAAATTTGGCGAAATTTTAAATCATGCCATTCAAGAGGGCACTAAAAAATGTGTCGAAAACATGCATATTTTTTTAATTTTGATGAGCGGTAAAGGTTGAAACTGTACTAACAAGTAACACTACCCAACTGTTAATCACCGATTTTGATTAAACTTGTCACACTTCTAAAACATGGAAAAATATTGAACACGTATTTTTTTATATCGGCCCGTTTTGAGTTTTAAGGGTAGAAAACACCCTTTTTTAATTTAAGGGATGAAAAGCAGTATTTCATACAGAATGTACTAGATTTGCTTGAAACATATTACTCAGGGGTTTTCGAGGTCGCTGATTACGAATCTGAAGTCAGATTTTAAAAATTCAAAATGGCGGATCCAATATGGCGGACATTAAAATTCAAATTCAATCGAATTTACTTGAAACTCATTACTCGGGGGTTTTTGGTGTCGCTGATTACGAATCAGATGTTAGTTGTTTAAAATTCAAAATGATGCATCCAACATATTCAATAAAGCCATTATTATAAAGACAAGATCTAATACTGCGACCAACAAATGCAAAATATGATAATCGAACCAACAAAGGCAAGAAGCAATAATCCAACCAGTAAAGGCGAGACGTGATAATCCAACCAGTAAAGGCAAGATGTGATAATCCAACCATCATAGGTAAGAAAGAATAATCCAACCAACAAAGGTAAGAAGCAATAATCCAACCAGTAAAGGCAAGATGTGATAATCCAACCATCAAAGGTAAGAAGCAATAATTCTTACCTTTGTTGGTTGGATTATCACATCTTGCCTTTACTGGTTGGATTATCACGTCTCGCCTTTACTGGTTGGATTATTGCTTCTTGCCTTTGTTGGTTGGATTATTGCTTCTTGCCTTTACTGGTTGGATTATTGCTTCTTACCTTTGTTGGTTGGATTATTGCTTCTTACCTTTGTTGGTTGGATTATTCTTTCTTACCTATGATGGTTGGATTATCACATCTTGCCTTTACTGGTTGGATTATCACGTCTCGCCTTTACTGGTTGGATTATTGCTTCTTACCTTTGTTGGTTGGATAATTGTTTCTTTCCTTTACTGGTTGGATTATTGCTTCTTACCTTTACTGGTTGGATTATTGCTTCTTACCTTTGATGGTTGAGTTATCACATCCTGCCATTACTAGTTGGATTATCACATCTCGCCTTTACTGGTTGGATAATTGCTTCTTGCCTTTGTTGGTTCGATTATCATATCTTGCATTTGTTGGTCGCAGTATTAGATCTTGTCTTTATAATAATGGCTTTATTGAATATGTTGGATCCATCATTTTGAATTTTAAACAAGTAACATCTGATTCGTAATCAGCGACACCAAAAACCCCCGAGTTATAAGTTTTAAGCGAACGCAATGAATTTTTTAAAAAGTTGTCTGTCATTTTGGAGCTGCCATTTTTAATTTTTTAAATCTGACTTCAAATTCGTAATCAGCGACCCCAAAAACCCCCGAGTAATGAGTTTCAAGTAAATTTGATTGAATTTGAATTTTATTGTCCGCCATATTGGATCCGGTATATTGAATTTTTAAAAATTGACACCGTATTCGTAATCAACTACCAGACTGATATCAGATTCGTAAACGGTGACCCCAAAAACCCCCGACTAACGAGTTTCAATCAAATCCGATTTATTTTTGATTTTATTGTCCTCCATATTGGATCCGCCATTTTGAATTTTTAAAATCTGACTTCAGATTCGTAATCAGCGACCTCGAAAACCCCTGAGTAATATGTTTCAAGCAAATCTAGTACATTCTGTATGAAATACTGCTTTTCATCCCTTAAATTAAAAAAGGGTGTTTTCTACCCTTAAAACTCAAAACGGGCCGATATAAAAAAATACGTGTTCAATATTTTTCCATGTTTTAGAAGTGTGACAAGTTTAATCAAAATCGGTGATTAACAGTTGGGTAGTGTTACTTGTAAGAAAAAAAGATTTTCCGTTTTCAATGTTACGATTGCAATTACTCAAAAAATAAAAATTTTTCGCACTTTTAAATCATGACATTCAAAAGGGTACTAAAATATGTGTCCAAAACGTCTATATTTTTTTAATTTTGATGAGCGATAAGGGTTGAAACTGAACGAAGAAAGAAGATATTTTTCGTTTTCAACATTAACAATTCGAATACTCAAAAAATAAAAATTTGTCGCAATTTTAAATCATGCCATTCAAAAAAGTACTAAAAAATGTGTCGAAAACAAACATACTTTTTTAATTATGATGGTCGGTAAGGGTTGAAACTGAACGAAAATTAAAAAATATGGATGTTTTTGACACATTTTTTAGTGCCCTCTTGAATGGCATAAAATTGCGACAAATTTTTATTTTTTGAGTAATTGCAATCGATAACATTGAAAACGGAAAATCTTTTTTTGTTCGTTCAGTTTCAACCCTTACCGCTCATCAAAATTAAAAAAATGTGGATGTTTTCGACACATTTTTTAGTGCCCTTTTGAGTGGCATGATTTAAAATTGCGACTTTTTATTTTTTAAGTAATTGCAATCGTTAATGTTGAAAACGAAATATATTTTCTTTGTTTGTATTAAATTACAATATTTTCCCTATAATTAGCAAAATCACTTAGATTTGCTTTTAGTATTTACTATTTATGTGTACGATGTATAATTTTTTTTATTATTACTGAATAGAATGCATAATTATGAAATTTGTTTTCGTTAAACTTTTAACGTTACGTTCTTCAGCCTAATACAGTAACATCACAGCAAGAAGTCGTGTTATGTGGGTGTCTTTTGTATTCTCTTGTGTTCTAATATAAGTTCTTTTGTATTGTTTATCTCGTTTTTATTCCATGACTCTTCACACCCTTTTACGCTAATAGAGACAGACTAAAATTTGATAACATATGGAAAACTATTATATTTTTCGAACATTTACAGTGTAAAATTCTTACTTCTGTATTGACGAACGTCTAAATATTGTGGATCAACTGATAGACTACCAACTCTTCCATTGGTAAGAGCATCTTGAAGGATTGATTTTGTCATGGCCATTGTATCCGCAGGCAAAATAGATCTACCCTTGATTTCGTTTTTGTCAATTGCCAGGATCATCTTCGCATAGACGCCATCATCATTAGCACTAAAATATATTTTAAAAATAAGTACAATGTTATAGTCTTATGAAACAAGGAATATTTATATTTACAATTTTTGAAATTCCTTGGTATTTCTTTGAAATCTTAAATACGAATTAAATCATTAATGTACGAACAATAATTTAATAATTAACAACATTTTGAACAATTAAGTACAAAATTCAAATCCTCGAACTAAAATATAACGTTTTCTTTAGTCATATGGTCTCAAGTAAAATACAAGTGTTTACCTACGAGATCCGACTACCTTACTCGTAATATTATTTGAATTTAATCGCACTTCAAGGGTTACATAATATCGACCGAAAAAATTAGTAAATTTTTATAATTTATTTTTTAAGCTATTTTATCAAAATTTTATTAAAATGAAGCACAATGTATCAAATAGAATATGTTGGGATGGACTTATAACAAGTTTAACAATAAAAAATATTAATAATTGTGAATACATATTATATTTAATAAAATGTAGGATGGAAGGCATATAAAACTTATAAAAATTCCTACAATTTTCCAGGCGTTAAAGTATATAATCCTTAATCTGAATATCATTAAAGTGAGTTCCTTTGTAACTGCCTTCATTCCTTTCAAATTATTAACTAATAAATTATTTTTTATTTGACTCAAGAAGACTAGAGACAGGAGGAGTAACTTCGCTGGAGTCTTACAGAGAACGATGACGTATAATATGAGGGCAACGAAGGTGGCGTACTTGGCAAGTAGTTGGTGCAGTAGACTAAAATTGGGCTTCTGCGCATATTAATACATTTATCGGTTTACATGTATTTAGTATTCTTGGCGCACATGGGTTTTCGCCGGCTGATAATTAAAACATATAATTTGACATAAACAATTAATCGAATGATATTTTTGACAATCTTTCAAGTTAACTTCCGACACTGATTGTCTTTTATTAAATTTATTATCAGCCTCTAAAATACAAAAAAAAATTAGTATTATTATAATGACAAATATAAATAATATCTTTTAATGCCCAAAAAAACGTTTTAGTTGATTAAAGTAAAAAAAAATCTAAAAAGTTATTATTTTTATTTTAACAGAATTTAATTGGTTAATGAATATTTTATTTTAAATAAGTAATTTAATTTGAAAACATATTTTCTCTCTTAAATAACTAATGTTATTAGATATAATAATAATAATAACATGGTTTCTATTAAGTTGCAGAGCGCGGACTCTTGGAGGAGCGTCGAGTCCTTCATTATAACTGTAATGAGGACGAAGGAGGATGACAGGAGGAGGTTAACACGGACAAATCCTGCTGCTCGGCTGGGTGCACGCGCGGGACGGGGCTCTCCTTCTTCTGGCGCTGGCACTCACTTAAGGATTTAGGACCGAGAGCAGCGGTAAGGAGACTTCCACTGGCGATGTATAAAGCTTAATAGCAGTTCCGCCAGTGGAGTTAAAGTCTCAAAAAAGGGTGTGGTTTTTAGTGGATCAACCAGAACAAGAGCGGTCATCCCCACATAACCTGAGAGTACGGGCTCCAGGTATCTGACTGGAAGTAGGCCTTCAGGGTTATGTAGATTTTCCACTTCCCTCATAAAAAAATAATAATTATTATAATATAATATTATTCTGATTAATAATAATTAATAATAATATCATTACTTTTAACCTCTCTATCATAAAATTGCCTTGTGCTATTTGACATATTCTTTTCTGCTATATTATGGCTCTATATATACTTGCGCAGTAAACAATTTTTGGTTACCGCACGAAATACCTATGCAGAAAGAATCTTCCTTCATTGCCCTCACACACATAGCACCGAAAATTTAATAAATATTTATTAAATACTTATTTTCAATGTTCGCAGTATTTAGAATAAAGGTTAAGTAAAGCTTCTGCAAATATTTAAATGTCCGCACTTGAGCAAATGTTTAGTGCGAACCTTGAGTGAAGCTTTAAATTAAATATTTGTTAAAGGTTCAGCTCGATCCTTGATTGAAGATTTAAATTAAATGTGTTTAATGAATAAATTGATTCAAGAAATTTTAGTTTTCAAAAATGGAAAAAAATAATTTCTTAAATTTAGGGACTCAAACTTGATTAATTAATTTTTTAGAGACTTTAAATAACGAAATTAATTTTGAAAATAAATTTGGGGGGACCGGGGATTGAACACGGGTTCGACGAACGCAAACTATGATTGGAAAAAACAATCTTGCTCTTAAGTTACAAGTGATTTTATTGGTTTGTGGAAAACGACGAGATAATTTAAAATTGGACTTTTTGTTTTGACAGTATATAACCAAGCAAAAATTATCTTAACCATCGAAACAATTCGTGCCGTTTTCCGCAACCAATAAAATCACTTGTAGCTTAAGAGCATGATTTTTTTGTTCCAATCATAGTTGCTCGTATAGCTCAGTTGGTTAAGTATTGCGTTTGCGTTCATCGACTCCGTGTTCGATCCCCGGTTCCCGAAATTTAGTTTGAAAATTAATTTCGTTCTTTAAAGTCTCTAAAAAATTATTTAATCAAGTATGAGTCCCTAAATTAAAAATTTTTATTTTTTTATTTTTGAAAACTAAAATTTCTTAAATCAATTTATTCATTAAACTGATTCAAATTAAAGATATAATTGTTTTAATTATATTATTATTATTAATACAATTAATACTTTATGCTTAGATAATTTTAAAACCCAGCTATCTGGGCAAACATTTATAGAATATTTTTTTAAGCTTCAATCAAGGTTCGAGCTGAACCTTTAACGAATATTTAATTTAAATCTTCAATCAAGGTTCGAGCTGAACCTTTAACGAATATTTAATTTAAACCTTCACTCAAGTTTCGAGCCGAACCATTAACGAATATTTTATTTCAAGCTTCACTCAAGGTTCACGTTAAACATTTGCTCAAGTGCGGACATTTAAATATTTACAGAAGCATTACTTAACCTTTATTCTAAATACTGCGAACATTGAAAATAAATATTTATTAAATCTTCTGTGTTATGTGGTCACTTTCGACGACATCCCCACCACCTAAGTTACTCCTCCTGTCTCTACACTGAAAAAATAGTATTGAACCAAGAACATTTTAATTGGTTCAAGAAAATCATGGGACCGAATGCGGTAAAATCATTATGCTACTGTTTCAAGAAATCCATTTACTTGGTGCAGTATATTTAAAAGAAGAACATAATATGTTCTTGATATAAGAAAATATGAAATTCGATCAAAAAGTTAATCGACTTCTATGAGTAAAATATTTTATTGTTCTAAAAATATCTGTAGTCGAATCAATTATTGCATTTGATTCATTTAAATCTTTGTAATGTTGGTTCAAGTAAGTAAACATTTAAATCAAAATATTATTTACATTGTCAGAAGAACGCATGTTTCTGGTCCAAGAAAATATGGAATTCGTCTAAGAAGTTGATTGACTTCTAAGAAATGTAAAATATATTAATTAAAATATATTCGGCCGGAGCGAAATCTAATGGTGTGCGCCCAACCTCGTTTTAATTAAAAATTACGTTTTTTAAATTTTACGTCGAAAATTCAAGTTAATAATGTACTAGCAATTTCATAAGACAATACAGATTATTATTTTAAAAAAATTTTTTAATTAATTTAAAAAATGAAATTTAATGAAATTTAATCATCAAAAATTACCACAAAATTAAAATTTTTTTCAAAATTTTATAAATTCCCAAAAGAATATAGGTTATTATATTAAACCCTTTTTTTAAAAAAAATTTAACATCTATGTTAAATTTTTTATATGTATTTTTGAAGATAATTAGAATGCTTGTTAAAAAAATTATAAAATGACAAAAAGAAATATTATAAAATTTTATTTAAATAATTATTTTCAAATTTTAATTTCTTATACTTTTTTTACAACTTAAAATTTTTTAATATTATTTAAACTATAATATTAAAATAAAAATCTATAACCCGAAAACAATAATTATAAAAAGGTTGTTACTAAAAAAACATTTTTTCATTTCTTTATATTTGTCATGTTTTTTAATTCTAAAGTTAAAATTTGATTAATTGGACTCAAAAACATAGCTGAAAAGGAATTTTTCTTCACAATTTTAAATCTATCAGTTATTTTCTCAATTTTAAGGTAAAAATGAGATTAATTAACCTCAAAAAACTTCTAAAAAAAAGTCTAGTAAAAATATGCGAAAAAATTAAAAATTTAAAAATTTCGATTTTTACAAAAAAAGGTGCCATAACTTCCGTTCAAGTTAATATTTTTTAATGGGGTATGGCTAAGATTTTAAGTTAGTCTAATACCTAAAAGACTGCCAAGTTTCACTTAAATCGGTCAAGCCGTTTATGCGTGATTGGCGAACAAAATATTGTGCAGACAGACAGACAAAATTTTTTTTAATGCTATTTTTAGAATCCTTATGACTTGAAACGAAGAATTATACATGAATTTTGAAGTTCTAAGCAATTTACAGACAAAAGTCTAATTTTATTAATATATATGAGAGATTCTTTTTCAATCGCCCCAGCCCAAAAAGTCAATGTTCTGGAATTGGCTTCATACTTTGGTAAATTGTTGTCCTATATTATAGTAATAAATCCCTAAAATATAAACTCATTAAAAAAATATTTGTAGAAAGTAGAGGGGGTTGAAGTTTTGACGTTAAGGGTAACATTGTCATTTTCAAATCCGTATAACTATGACAAAAGTTAATGGATTTTAATTTATCTATAATGAATTTCAATACATTTTTCACGTACTTTTCAAAAATGTATACGAAATTTAAAAAAAAAAATTTTGATCCCTTTTTTTCAAAATCAACCCTTATTTTTCGATTTTCATCCCTTCGGGTATTTTTTTTATTTGCATTGGAAAGCTGAGGTTTTTTCCCATGAGCTATGTAAATACGAAAGTGGGACAACAATAATTTTGTGAGAAACATAATATTAAATTAGGCGGTGCCTATCTAAATCCTCAAAGATGATCTCCAGGTATACCCCTTATCGGCACCGCCTACTTTAATATTCTGTTTCTCACAAAATTATTGTTGTCCCATTTTCATATTTACATAGCTCATGGGAAAAAACCTCAGCTTTCCAATGAAAGTAAAAAAAAAATACCCGAAGGGATGAAAATCGAAAAATAAGGGTTGATTTTGAAAAAAAGGGATCAAAAATATTTTTTTTTAATTTCGTATACTTTTTTGAAAAGTACGTGAAAAATGTATTAAAATTCATTATAGATAAATTAAAATCCATTAACTTTTGTCATAGTTATACGGATTTGAAAATGACAATGTTACCCTTAACGTCAAAACTTCAACCCCCTCTACTTTCTACAAATATTTTTTTAATGAGTTTATATTTTAGGGATTTATTACTATAATATAGGACAACAATTTACCAAAGTATGAAGCCAATCCTAGAACATTGACTTTTTGGGCTGGGGCGATTGAAAAAGAATCGCTCATTTATATATATATATTAAATCAAGAAAATATTTTCTTGACTTGAGAAAACTTATGGATTTCAGCAAAAAAAATATTTTTCCAATACTAGTAAATATTTACTTTAATTACTTGGATTGATTAATGTTGATTTCAAACCATATATTTTTTAATCAAGTTGAAACAAGTATCTACTTCTATTAATCTTTCCATTTTCTTGGATCAAGACTATGAGTGTTAGATTAAGTAAAAAGTTGTTTTGAAGGAAACAACAAAACGATTTGACCCAAGAAAATAAAATACTCAACGTAAATCTCTTCACATGAGAAAATAATATTCTGGACTCAATATTTTTTCGGTTCTTGACACAGGTAAAACAGTTCACTTGAAACTGTAAGATATATTTACTTGTATGAAACTCATATTTTCTTATTTCAAGAACATTGCTCAATGCTCAAAATTACTTGAATCAAGAAAATAAATTTCTTCCAATAAGAAAATATCGTCTTATTTCAAGTAAAGTATCTCAAGTAAATGTATTTACTTGATTTAATTAACTTTTTTTCAGTGCAGTCTTCTTGATTTAACTAAAGGTTTATCATCTCCTTGACACAATACCTAATTTCTCTTTAATTAACCTTATCCGAGTAACTATTTACCTTCGTAAGTCATCAAGCCTAAGATTGTAAAAGCCTGGTACTTTATTCAATGTTGATTTGAAGCTCTCAGTTATGGTATTTGAAATGTCATCAAAATCTTGAGTACCAAATCGTGGAGCAGTATAACTAGCACCCAGATTAACTAATTTCACTTCGACCTCGTAGAAAAGTCTTGGTGGAGCGGGAGTAGTAATTTCAACATCATCTACAATATACACATTAAAAAACATGTTTTGGGTAATAATTAAAGTTTTTAATTTTTAATCTCACCATCAAATCCACAAGATTTTATACAAATCTTATCACCAGAAACTATAGGTACTGCATTGTGAGGTTTAATTTTTTTATTAACTGCATGGAAATTTCCTCCTTTTACTGGAAACATCATGTAGAGACATTTGTCATCAGTAAATGAGAGGTCTTTGTAGTCTTTGGTAATGCGTTTTCTTGAAAACATCAAAGTGGTTTCTCCTTTCTCAATTTTTCCACTAATATTGTAAATGTCCTGAGACGCATCCAAAAGAGGTGCATTGTACCCGTTAATCCAAGTATCCATAATAAATGGCCTTCCATTAGACTTATCGACCCATCCGAGGATGGCGTCAGTTTGACTCTAAATTTTTAAAATAAATTTAGAAAAACTCATTAAAGAATTAAAATTAAGGGTGCACTTCCGAAACCCCCCCCCCCCTTCCGATTTTAATGAAACTTGGTATACTTACGTAATTTCATGCGCTGATAACGAAAATGATAGTGAAAATTACCGCAAATTTCATTTTTATGGTGAAAACCATAAAAAACACCATAAAATTATGGTTTTTTGCGTTTAACTCGTAAAAAACGCAAAATTAAAAAAAATCGTTTTTACAAAAGTTGTAGAGCTTCTAAAAATGAACATTTTATGTCCTAGACATTTTTTACCAAAAGTCCTTAGTTTTCGAGAAAAATGCAGAAATATGAAAAGCACACTACAAAAATTACTAATACCACGAAACTGGAATTCCTATAAAGATAGTTTTGAGAGATCAAATTCACATTCTTAATGGTACTGGAAGGTACGGAACCCACCCCGACCCCCCTCCTCCAAGATGTCTTCCCCCTCCCCCCTGGAAGTAGCCCTGCACAGCAAAGAATGCAGAGGCGGGCGAAGCCCGCCTTCCCTTATATCGTTGCTCTCTTTCAAAACAGACAGTCAAATTCACATTCTTAATGGTACTGGAAGGTACGGAACCCACCCGACCCCCCTCCTCCAAGATGTCTTCCCCTAAAAGTTCTTTTGGAAATAGCCCTGCACAGCAAAGAGTAGAAGGTTTTTTATTAAAAGATATTGTCCGTCACATAAGACATCTGCCTCTTGTGGATAATAGCTAGAAGTTGGTGATTTTCACCGTTTTTAAATATTTTGCATTTTTCTCGAAAACTAATGACTTTTGGTAAAAAATGTATAGGACATAAAATGTTCATTTTTAGAAGCTCTACAACTTTTGTAAGAACGATTTTTTTTAATTTTGCGTTTTTTACGAGTTAAACGCAAAAAACCATAATTTTATGGTGTTTTTTATGGTTTTCACCATAAAAATGAAATTTGCGGTAATTTTCACTATCATTTTCGTGATCAGCGCATGAAATTACGTAAGTATACCAAGTTTCATTAAAATCGGAAGGGGGGGGTTTTCGGAAGTTTATCCAAAATTAATAAAGATGTTTTACTCACCATTTTCTCATTTTCGGAAAATCCCACACCAGTCCAGGTATCGGTATTATTTGTCACAATTGTGAAGTATATTTTATCCTAGAAGAAATAATTAATAGATCACATATTTTTTCCTATCATTTCATTAATCATAATTATATTTACAATACCTCTCTCTTTTTGTATTGCCATTTAATTCTGTATTCACAGGTTCCTTTCTTTGGCGAACACTGTCTGGGGTATCGCCATTCCCCTCCGCAACCACCACCTTCTAAAGGCATTCCGGCACCAAAGTTTGATTTTCCGCTTTCGTCTGCACATAATACAATTTTAATTACATTACTTTAAATTGTCAAACATAATATTAAAACCTTACATTGAAAGCATTCGGACGAGTTGCTGTTTTAACCATAGTAAGTTATTTTAACTAAAATTATAGTATAATAATCTTTGTATTCATTCCGTCATTCATTCACATTTTCTTAGTACTTAATTTTTCTCATTATTATTAGATTATATATACATATATATCTTTACTTTGATATTTAGGGTTCTCGACGGTTTCTACCTGAAATTTTTGTTGTCAAAACAGCTTTTGGTTGAGGGTTCATAAGATGGTCGATGACCTTTTAAATACTGTAATGAAAGGGGTCGCTGAAACCGTATATGACCATGAAAATTTTTTTTGACGACCCATTTTCCCGCAACCACCCCCTTGCACCTACTCACGGGGGTTGGAGTTTCAAAAAAAAAAAACGAGTAGTGTGTCAATTCCAATGTTTTTTGGGTCGCTTAATCCGAAAAATACCACTAAAAACAAATCCTTAACTCCCTATAACCCCCTGAGAAGGGGTTGGAATTTCAATTTTTACAAAAAGTCGAGTACGGTATCTATTCCTATGTTTTTTGGTCGCTGAAATCAAAAAACACCAACAAAAACACATCTTTTACCCTTTTAACCCCCTACAACCCCTGGAGAGGGTTGGAATTTCATTGTTCACGAAAAGTCGAGTACGGTGTTTAATCCTATGTTTTTTGGGTCGCTTAATCCGAAAAATACCACTAAAAACAAAAAAATCGAGTAGTGTGTCAATTCCAATGTTTTTTGGGTCGCTTAATCCGAAAAATACCACTAAAAACAAATCCTTAACTCCCTATAACCCCCTGAGAAGGGGTTGGAATTTCAATTTTTACAAAAAGTCGAGTACGGTATCTATTCCTATGTTTTTTGGTCGCTGAAATCAAAAAACACCAACAAAAACACATCTTTTACCCTTTTAACCCCCTACAACCCCTGGAGGGGGTTGGAATTTCATTTTTCACGAAAAGTCGAGTACGGTGTCTAATCTTATGTTTTTTGGGTCGCTGAAACCAAAAAACATCACCAACAATAAAGTTTTCTAGAAAGTTACCTATGATTACACAAATACGCACCTACAAAGTCTTAAGGAAATTTATTTTTCTACACTTAGCGCCGTGAAAAATGATATTCCAACCCCCTCCCAGGGGTTCTAGCGGGTTAAGGGGGTAAAGAATTTGTTTTTGGTGGTGTTTTTTAATTTCAGCGCCCCAAGAAACGTAGGATTAGACACCGAACTTGACTTTTTGTGAAATTTAAAATTTTAACCCCCTCCCAGAGGGTTGTACGGGATTAAAGAAAGAAAGGATTTGTTTTCAATGGTGTTTTTGGGATGAAGCGACCCAAAAAAACATTGGAATAGACACCATACTCAATTTTTTTTTAATTTGAAACTCCAACCCCCGTGAGTAGGTGCAAGGGGTGGTTGCGGGAAAATGGGTCGTCAAAAAAATTGTTAATGGTCATATTCGGTTTCAGCGACCCCAAAAACATAGGAATATGGGGTTGTGTTTTTTGGGACCTGAATTTTTTTTTGTGCCTGTGTTATTATTGGAGCAATATATGATCGTAATCGTGAACTTCTGAGGAAAACGAATATGTCAAAATAAATTAAACAGTGTTTATATTTAAAAATTTTATAATTTTTTTGAAAAACTCATTAAGCGTCATAAAAAAATATTGTCATTAAGCCCGAGAACGTCATACAGGCCCCCGCTGTAATTGACTTACTCGAGGTCTGAGCCCGGGACAGGCCGATAGAGTGAGGATATACCACTTCCCTTTTCAGGACCCAATCCGTGATCGCTCGATTCGTCCTAACAGTCTTGGGTTGAGGGAAATTTTTTTATTATTGTATATGCGATATAGATGATAACCGTTTAATCCCAGTGAGTGGAAGTGGTGTATTCATACTTAACTTACCAACACCTATCCCCGAGGATGCCACTCAGGCCTACCGTAATATCTGCCACTCGCGAGAACTTAATATAGGCCCAGATTGGTAGAGTGGGGGTATAACACTTCTCCTCAATGGAGTGAAACGGCTACTGCTGATGTAAGATAAACATAGAGCAACCGACTACCGTTTCAACAACATTGTAGTAGTGTTGCTAAAAAAAGATTCTAATAGTCTCAGGTAACTTAACTTGATTATTATAAAGTTTATAATATTTTTCTGCAATTTGTCGATCAATAACTTACTGTAGGTGTTGAATCTTCTTATATTATATTTGTGTTTTTCATTTTTGTATTGGGCCCAAAAAATATATTCCTATTTTTGTATAGTATTAATAATTATACAATATGTATTTTAAAGATAAATATGGATATGGCATGATATTGATATTGAAGATATTTGTTTCTTTTGGTTGTCTTAAATGTTTCATATAAAAAATACATCAATCCATTTAGTTTTTTTGGTATTAAATAACATTGGCATTAAAGATATTACGATTTTGAGGATAAAGAAAGATATTGGATAACATTAATATTGAATATATTTTAATAATGCAACAAAAATATTGATTGTTTTATAATAGTGGAAGCTGTCTTTTGGAAAAATTTTTTGGTATTGGGTAATTTTGGCATTAAAGATATTTGGATTTTGAGGATAATAAAATATGATATTGGATAACATTGGCATTGAATATATTTCGATATTGAAAAAAAAATATTGACTGTTTGAGAATAGAGGATGCTGGCTTTTGGAAAAGTATTTAAATAGATAGAAAGAGGTTTGAATATTGTTTTAAGGGTTAAAATTGTTTTATGGGTTAAATAACACAGCCCCACAAAAAAAAAGTGTCATGTACTTTTGACCGGAATACCCTAACCCTATGTATTTTGACGCGCTGAACACGAATCCGAAGTCCGTTTTGCTCCATCACGTCAGGATTTTTTTCTAACCTCAAAAAACATGTCGGATTTTGAGAAGTAGGCGATTTTTTTAAAAATTGATGTATTAATTTCAAACTTGGTTTTTGGGGGTTTTTTGTGTCGCTGATTACGAATCTGAAGTTAGATTTTCAAAATCCAAAATGGCGGATCCAATATGGCGGATGAATTTTGAAAAAATTTTAAGATTTACTTCAAACTTGGTATCTGGGGGTTTTTTGGGTCGCTGATTACGAATATGATGTCAGATTTGAAAAATTCAAAATGGCATATCCAACATGGACTTCTATCGGACATATTAGATACGCCATTATCTGTATCTGGGGGTTTTTTGGGTCGCTGATTACGAATATGATGTCAGTTTTCAAAAATTTAAAATGGCATATCCAACATGGACTTCTATCGGCCATACTAGATACGCCATTATCAATTTTTGAAAACTGACATCATATTCGTAATCAGCGACTCAAAAAACCCCCAGATACACTATTGCACATTAATTTTTAAAAAATTTCGTAAAATAATGTCTTCCTACCAAAAAAAAATTCAAGGGGTAGTTCCCCCCCATAAATCAGCTTTTGGGGAAAAACAAAACATACTTGTCAAATTGTTTTTAAAAAACTACAAAACTGCCAAGTTTCAGAAAAATCGTCGTATGGCACTTCCCTAGTGTTACTTGTCAGCAACTTAGAAAACCTGTAGATACCAAATTTCATAATAATCTGACAATTTTTTAAAAATAATTCCTTAATATTGAATCAGACATGTCGAATTTCGGAAATCTGACATCAGATTCGTAATCAGCGACCCAAAAAACCCCTAGATACCAAGTTTGAAGTAAATCTTAAAATTTTTTCAAAATTCGTCCGCCATATTGGATCCGCCATTTTGGATTTTGAAAATCTAACTTCAGATTCGTAATCAGCGACACAAAAAACCCCCAGATACTAAGTTTGAAATTAATACATTAATTTTTAAAAAAATCGCCTACTTCTCAAAATCCGACATGTTTTTTGAGGTTAGAAAAAAATCCTGACGTGATGGAGCAAAACGGACTTCGGATTCGTGTTCAGCGCGTCAAATTACATAGGGTTAGGGTATTCCGGTCAAAAGTACATGACACTTTTTTTTTTTGTGGGGCTGTGTAATAGTTTGTGAGTTGAATATTGATTTGAATATTAATAAAAAGTGCAGAGGAAAATAAGTTCAATAATAATCATTATCAAAAATGATGTAATGTGGAAAAAGATTAAACAACGCTAATTCACGTTCATAAAAGACTATCATTGTTGCATTAGTTAGCTGAATTATAGTTAATGCAATATTTTATAGGTGAAACACATGTAAGTAAATTTTTTAAAGCAATAAACTAAAATAAACGATTTGTTTTGAAAATTGGCTTTATCAACAGTTTGAAAGTTGAAGAAGGATACCATGTCGAACATAGAAGAGTATTTTATTTTAAGTAATGAAGATTTTTTCATTATGCAAAGTACTTTGTATTTACAAATGCTTGATTTAATTGTTCCAATTAGAGAAAGAGTTAAACATATTCAAATAGTTTTTAGCGGTAATAACAATTCTGGTCATTGGATTTGTGTTTATTACGATGGAGTAAGACTTTATATTTTTAATAGCCTTAATGCAGGGTGTTTGAATATTCACCAAATAGAATATTTAATTAGATTGTTTCCTTTTAAACCAACAGAATTTTTTGTAGATGTTGATCAACAACCGATTGGTACAGTTAAGTGTAAAGTATAATGCAATAGCATTTGCAACATCTGTATCGGTTAACAGTGTAAATTAAAAGATTAATTTATGAAACTGATAATAATATAATGAGCAAGCATTTGATATCATTTTTTGAAAACAATTAATTAAATAATTTTCCGTCAGTTAGAATGTCTAATATTAGGATTTCGATTTGTAGAGAATGATTGGAATTGTCTTTTCATAAATCGAGCTAAAGAAGTTCAAAATGGTGAACTAAACCTTTCATATTTTTTAAAGACTTTTCCCAGTAAAAATGACAACAGAGTTCTGTCTACTGAAACTGA